ACAATTTTCGAGGAAATTATACCCTTCTGAGGATTTCGCTATTCACAACACAGAATCTCAAAGACTGTGTTTATAGGAAACGTTGTTTATTTATTAGAATTATTATATAAAGTATTTATTAAGTTTATTATATAAATTAGAGTTGGGCAAATTTTATTTAAGATAAAGGTGAAAAATAATTCGAAATGACAGATCGTTCCCACTAATAAATATAATAATGGATTCAACATAATTATAAAAAAAAGCTGCGAACTTTATTCTTAGAAAGTCTATATTTGAAATTTTTACTTCCAACCGAAAGAAGTGATATGTTTGCTTTAAGATTCGCTTGTTTAAAGAGTAGCTGAATTATTTAATTAAAAAGATCTGACAAATTCGATGAATATCTGATTGTCAACCAAACATTCTCTGTTATATATTAAATAGGATTAGAGGGTAGATTTCTAAATTTTTATTCAAGTATTTTTGCAGAAGAAAGACTTATTGTTACATTGAAGTAAAAAAATTCGCACGATCGGTTGTATTTTCAATTCGTGCGATTTTTGAAGAAAGAGTTACAACTCACATAAGAATTAATTGATTCACATAAGAAAATCCATCCACTGTACACTTAGGTCAACCAAGAAAATCCCTCCGTATATTCTTAAAAACTGGGACAAATCCGGACGAATAACAGCCTTGATATATTTCAACACTCGTTAAGTCTGAGAGAATCGGTAAGTCTGATCGTTAATTTTATACAGAACATGCTTCTTTAACTATTTTTCGCGTGTCTTCTAGCTATTATTTTGCTAGTGTTTAAGTGACCAACTCAAATTACTTTCGAATTCCAGCACATTTAGCTTTCCAACCACAAAACAATGGCCGCATGCTGTTGAATTATGGCCAGATATAACGTATATAATATAATAAATATACATGTGTGTGTAAATGTAAAAATGTATATTAAGGAATTAAGGATCCGTGTCTATAATATATAAGTAAAGGCAAAACTTTTTTCAGTTTAGTACATTTCTAGTTGTTACATTTATTTCACATTCACCAAATGTTAACAATGAATCAAACTACGATTTGATCCGATGATAAATTAAGGATCCAACAACTATCTTAATAGATTTTTGTTATGATATTTTTCTGTTGTAACGAACAATCGACCATTCGTGAGTATCTAAATTCAAAATACGGAGATTCACTGTGGCTCACACTTCTTGATTTCACTACAATACACACGAGCTCGACAATTCAAATATAGAGGTACTCTTGATATTTTTATAAAAAAAAAGAAATAATTTATTTTTCGAGTTATCTTGGAATTTCCAGATTAACTGGAAGTGCTTGAAAAATCGTGACACGAGTGTATGTGGAATATCCTGTATAATATGCATACACGTTCGTGCATTCACAGCGAAATAAGGGCGTTTGCTAAAAATCCATTCACGCATCTACTTGCTACATTGGATCGATCGATTTAAGGGGAAAGAGAGAGAATTTGCTTGTACTTCGCTGGCCGCCACACCACGTCACTCCGCGCCATACGGAGCCATGGTATCGATCATGCTTCTGTTCGAGCAGGTTAAGCGTGTGCTGCTCGAAAGTTAACTTTTCGGAGAACTATACTTCTGCAAAAGTAACGCAATTACGCGATAATCGAGCGACCAACCCGGCTTAGCTCGATAGTAGTCCTCTCTCTTTATCCATGTCGCTCTCGTTGTTTCATTTTTGACTAGCAAACTTTTTCCCGCAGACGATACATCGAACGAAACAATGGAAGAATTCATTGTTCGCGGCGATGCTTCGCTTCTCTCGAATCGACGGTAAAGCAGACCGTTTTTTGTATTATTCCGATGCGTACTTTAGTCCTCGAGATAGAGAGAAAACGGAAAAAAAGGAACAGCAGCACTAGTGGTAGTGATGGGTGCAAGTTCAACATGTGTTCACGAAACCAAGTACAATTCTCTATAAAAAGTTCACTTCGTAGGATTTGTATTGCTACTCATCAAAGGTGATGTTCAATTGATATCTATTTATGAAATTATTGCAGATTTTTATATACGTTTATTGGAAATTTGAAGGTGCAAACAACGATGCAAAAATATATGAAATATCCAAATTATAAATTGCAATAATAATTTGTTAGTATTATAATTTAGTAGTTTATTACCATATTTAGCAGATGGAAGAAATTTATATTAAGATCTCATTCTTTTTTAGATATATTCAGAAAGGTTTAAAAATGCATTTAAAAATCTAGAGATTGTACACATTGATTTCCAACAAAAGTTTATACTTAATATTTAAGTGAATTAAATCTTTTAAAAACAACACTCGAAGTCTGAAAATTTCGCTCATTGAAGTTTATCATAAACGTTACATGGTAATCTCTAATTGCTTCTGTTATCAAATTATACAATTAAACGGAATAAATAATTTTTTGTAGATAAAAAGAATTGAAATGTTACACAATCATGGTCATAAATTTAACTTAATAATTGATTTTTCAGTATACTTCGAATACTTCGAGTATGCTTCTTGCTATCAGTACTTTTATTATATAACTTGTGTGTCACATGGTATCCATTACACCTAGTGCATATTTGGTCCCATCACTAACTAGTAGTGGCAATAAGAAGAGAGAAGGAGAAGAAATACAACAGGGGCACGCGTTTTGTTACGACAGCAACGCTGCTTCGATTTTTTAAAAACAAACAAGAACACAAGCTTCGCTTCCTCCTGGCTCGGTTTTGCGGTGAAAGACGAAACTCCACGGTGATTCTTCTACTGTGGCATTGCGCCACTTTCCTGGCTTCTGGTTTGCTCGGCAGGAGGTAACTCGAGGCCTCTCGTCCTCTCTTACCTTTACAATTTATAACAATCTTCTTTTCGTTCCTTCACGGCTCTCGATTCGAAACATCCGGTCTACCTCTTTTTGTCTGGTTCTCTTTCCACTAGTTCGCGATTTTTACGTTCAATATTCGTACCATTTGGAACAATAGTGATGCGTACCTCTATTAACATTCAGTTTCATCGTTACTGTTTGAATTTATCATTATTAATAAGATTACATTTTTATTGCCTTCGTGAAATGGTTGTAATTTCTGTATAAAATATTAGTAACATTATATTTCTCGCAGGTATTTAATTCATTCAAAAACATTTTATAAAAGCTCTAACTGTGAGCCACACATCATGAGACTTCAATGTATCTCCATTATAAAATTCTTATTGTTGTAAAAAACGCTGTAACAATATTGTATCAATTTATGCAGATACAATGGAAAAGCATATTCCTTTTTCCATACGTGATTTTCAAATGTTGTTTGTGCGCCTGACGTGAATGCAATATTTGAAAATTACGTACAGAACGACGTGAAACATGTTTTGTTAAGTCGATAAAATCGCTGTCACATTAAAAACTACTCACTTCGGAGAGTCTTTAAACTTTAAATGATATATTATAATTTGTTTTTTACTTTTCTTTCTTTGTTCATTGTCACATCAGTACAGATTTGGAGCGATTTTTGAAAAACGAGAGAGTATTTTCTATAAGTGTCAGGCGCATGCGTATTAGACACATGCGCATACGCATGCGCGTCGAACGCATTTATATCGATACAATGGGCCCGCCTGACCCAAATGCAATAGTTGAAAATCATGTTAACTTCTTAACTGAGTAAGACGAAATATTTCGTCATACCAGGAAGGAAACTGCAATGGGCATGACGACATTTTTCGTCATGAAAATTTTAAAAGTAATGTGTGATAATGTTTTATTTAAATCGAAATGGAATTTACATATTTGCTAAATATGTCAAAATAAATAGTCAGCAAGTGAAAAACGATTTTCTTTCCTTTTATTACTTTAGTAATAATATAAACTTCTCACTGCGAAGGAAAATATCCCCATTGTGAGAGAAGTTACTTTTATGTGAACCAAAGTCAATTCCCCTGTTAAGAAGTTAAATTAAATTAGAAAAACAGGAACATACCAAAATTCCTGAAATCTTATCTTTAAGCAGCCTCTATAATGCAGTATAAACTCAGCAAGTCAGCAATTCTATATGTATGTAAGTGTCTAAATAAAATGATGTATTCGTGGACACTTTGATTCCTTAACTCATTAAGGATCAAAAAGAAATAATTTATCCTACTAATAGAAATAATTGAATTTTTTGAAATTTCATAAAATTATAGAATACCAGATGAAGGCACAACAGATGAGAGAATACCAGCTTAATCCTTGGAATTTTCTTTCGTACTTTCAATATCAAAAAATAGAGTTTCATAACGTAAGTTCATTTAAAAGAATTGCAGCAAGTGACATGCTGCGTCGACGCAACGTTATGGGTTTTTAATGGATTCACGTACATATACGTGTTAAAAATACAGATTCTTAATTCCAATTTTTTAAAAGTAGACTGCCATTTCCGAGCGTTGGTCGCAAGAACGGGTTCGACATAATCTCGGATCAGACCGAGGATTAACAGCGGCCTATGGTGCCCGACCAACGTGATCGACGATTTGTCTGTGCGGCAAGAAGCGGATTATCGCGTCGCGTTCAATCCATCGGATAAAGTCGAATCCTGCGGCACGACATCAAGTCATCTACAAGAATAAGAAGCGCTCGTTACGACTTTCACGGCATTTTCCAACGCCATATCATTCCCGCTTCTAATATGTACATTTTTTTATATATTCATAGAAACTTCAATCTTTATATTATACATACTTATTATACTTATCTTTATATTATACATAGAGATTTAAATCTTTATGCATATTTGTATTTTCACGCTGCGTTCTTTCACTCCATAATTCAGACATAGTTTAACCCTCTTCATCTCTCATTTGTAGCTTGTCTCTTAATATGAAATTGATACAATGATTAATATTATACTTACGATGAAAAGATAAGTAGTTAAATTCGCAAGCTAAGTTCTTTTATTAATAACAAAAAGATTGTAACAACAAATTCTGTAAAATTCGCATAAATTCTATTCTCATGTACAGGTGTGCAATTTCGTATTGTGATTTTATTTTTTCTAGTTGCATGTATAATTGTGATGCAGCAAAATCTCAATGAGGGACGAGGAATTCGAATAATGGAGGCTCAATAAGTTTCTCCATATTGTGATATTTATCTTACTTATTTGAATGATCAAAGATAATAGGTAAAAGTTGTTTAATTATGAATTTGTCTGATCAATATTAACTAGTTCATATAAAGGCACTTTCTGTTGAAAAACGTAAAAATACTTGAAGATATGTCAAACATATATGTTGCAGAACAACAAATGTCACATAATTTATGTCCTGCAATAATGTAACATTCTCGCGACTTTCACTTTTACGTTTAATGAAACTGCTCGGAGATGAAATAGAAAACAACAAGGGGTTTAATAACGCGTGTATGTGAGAGTTTCTGTCGGAAAGCTCAGGAAACGGAAAGCGGCAAGAACGCTGGGGGTGGTCGGCCATTCAAATGGCACGCGGAGAACAAGATTAGCGAGTAACGCGTGGAAATTAATTTCCGCGGTCGTCACAGCGTGAATCGACAATGTTCCACGAACCAATTCCCGACGATAATTGGTCTCCCCTTCCAATTATTTCCTGCTCGTTGCTTCTGTGTCGGATCATTTGCTCTTTGTTTCAAGAACGTTCCGAATCGTTGCGTTGCTGAAACTGCTTCACGAATAATATGAGGATCCGCTGTGAACTGCGTCTACTTCTCCAATTATTTTTACTTAAAAACAAGTCGATTAACAAATTTCGCTCAATAGAGTAGAAAAACGCTACAAAGCTTTTCTTCTATAGCGTATATTGTTCGAATAAAAATTTCTCAATTTTTGAAATGATATATCTGATTAAAAAAGAAATCAACTAGATTTGAGTTGACTTTTTTGGTTTTACGGATCAGACATTGTATTAAC